GAGTTTTCTTATTCCTAATGAATCTCTGAGAATCGCTGTGAAACAACGTCTCTGATAATGTTCTCCGATTTGATTCGAAAGCAAATGTTTGCTGGCAACTGCGAGGAAATGTTTCGTTGCAAATTTTCAAAATTTTTGTATACAGATTTGTGAGAGAAATTCGCAAAAAAAAAAGATTTATTCTCGACCAGTACCGACTGTGTTTGCTTATAGCAGATGGTGTTCATTCTGCTTGTTTCACGATGCCATAAATCGATGCAATATTCGAGAATGTATGCTACAATAAATTTTTCCAAATGTTTCATTCGTTTATTGGACGCTTACTGCTAACTGCCTAATAGATTGGTCTCATTTACTTTGAATTTCATTTTCAAATTGCTTTTTCGTTTTGTGACAACACAGTTGAATAGTCGTGAAATGCGGAACTGCTCTTCAATTTCTTTTCACAAAGAAATTGATCACAAACCTTTTTATCATTCTTATCAATGCTCTTTTTATCGTTGGTTCTGATATCATAATAGTAATAATGCAAATAACGTTAATGAAAAGTATCGTCGACAAGCAATGAAAATAATTTCAATATTTTATTTAATACTATAATATTTTGAATATTAAAATACTTAATACTATAGCAATATTAATTTTGAATATTCATGTCAGTAACAACAATGACAATAAGTAGTAGTTGTCAGAGTGATTTAATCAGTTATAACAATACNTCTTATTATTATTATTATTATTATCATTATTATTATAATTGTTATTACTATTATCATTATTATTATTGTTATTAGTACTATTATTGTCATTATTACTATCACTATTACTACAAACTAAATATGATAATGGCGTAATAGTGCATGCATATATGAATAACTAACTAATAGATCAGAACTCATATTTCTATATGATCAAGTAAAGTGTACTATATGTTAAAATCTCATACAATAACGAATACATTATCATACAGATAGCACGATATCAGTTATGGTCACAACCTTTATTACGATTCAAATTATTGCGATCAACTGAATACGCTGACGATTTACAGAAAACTACGCAAACGATACTGATCTAAGTATGTGTTCATAACTGATACCTATGCTCATACCTATACATAATAGATATTCATAAATATCACTTAAATGAGCATAGCCAGCAGCCGAGAATGTCTATTCGCAATATCATGCATATGCATGCGTCGGTATGCATGTTCATCATTCGAACGTTCATGCTGTGGCTGATGCCTTTCATTCACATCGCTCCGTCGTCATCAACGAATGAATGAAATGAATCACGTATCTGTACACGTCTTGTATCTCATCTGTATCTATCTGTTTCTGTACGAAATATCTCTAGACTGTTGATAACAAGCCATGAACACTGTGATGTATCATTTCCGAATATTATTCCTGATGTTAACTATATAAGCATATTTGCACATTTCATTGTTGATTTTCTCTTCATTTAGTTTTGTTTGTATACTCTCTGTATACAAAAATCTTCATTAACATCAGCAGTCTCTGTATTCATTTAGGATAGTCAATATTCGTAGTCATCGGCAGTTTCAGACATTTTTTGACTGAATGAAAAGCGATAGATGTTTTCGAAGTGATAGTTATACTGGTACGTGAATAAATTGGTTAGTTATTAATCGTCACTGAGCGTTTACTTGAATTGCCGATCGCTCTGGGCGATCGGTAAAATGTTTATTGGTGTTTGGATTATTTGCTGTTTTGGTGTTTAGTTGTGTTAAATTATGCAAAGTATTCATCGCAACAACCCTTCATTGCGGTTTACCTGTAGAATATTTACTATTAACATGCCAATCGCTACAGATCTGCCTAGTTACGTTAATTAAAATGGTTTGATCCCGAAAGACCGCTAGCTTACTACTGTTGGCTGTTTCAAACAGATACTTTGAGCGACCCTTTGACACATGCTCTCTGGATCAAGCGGAGTGTATTGTCGATGTCACTTCGATTGAGGTTCTCTTCTTATTGTTAGAAATTATTGGGCAACGCGGGAGAATAACCCCACATACCAGTATTATCACTGTCTCTGCGCTTGCCGAAGCAATAACCGAAGTTAAACTTTCATGAAGCCGGATGATTCCCGACGCTGATATTGTTAGTTGCGTGGGAAGAAGGATGTTAAAGAAGAAAGAATGTGATATTGGTGATAAGAGAGAAGCATAAGCTTATAATGAGGCATAACTGCTGATAAAACAAAAAAGTACATGAGTATAAAATGCAGCGATTCTTGTGTTGAATTTAGAAGTGGAGTACATTCGCCGCTTCATTTACTCGTTTCATCGTGATTATGTTCATGTCGGTCGCAATTGTCTCAAATTGACCCTGTTCGATGAGGCATAGACTGATCTAAATTCATCCAATAATGATAGTATTCTTAAGGTTTCCGAAGTGGATATTGCGGTTTGCCTGTAGAACATTTAACATAAGAGAGAAGCAATCGCTATGGATCTGCCCAGTTACGTTAATTAAAATCGTTAAAATCGTTTGATCCCGTTTGCTAAAAAAGTATTTATATGAAGCAAACAGATTGAGTGTGATTTCGTCATAAGTTATGTCGAAATTTTCCGCTGAACTCTTATTGTGATTGATTTCATTTGATCGGCGATCCATCGAGGATGACCATCTTCGTAGCTTAATTCAGTGTCGTTGGTGAGCTCAAACGTGATCGGATGCTTGGATTGTGACGTTGAATTTCCACTGAAGTCACTTTATGAGTATATATCAATGAAAGCTGACTGCTAGCTATGAATAAATAAAACAGAAAAAATTATCATAGAATGACGTGTATGTTAAAAATGCTGACATTGCATAGTTATCGATTGTTTGAAATTATCAATTTTGCATTCAAGTTATTCAGCATGATCGGCGTTCATAACTTGTGAACATTGTCATTTTATGATTTTCTTTTTTGCCTTTTTCAACCGATCATTTTTTCCGTCTGCTTTCCTCTGCTTTCGGCTCCAATCTAGTTGATTCAAATAAATGCATACTATTTCAACCCTCTGATAAATTGTTCACTCCAAATCAAGCTGGCCGAGCCCTGTTATGTTCTTCAACAACTAAACAAATGAAAATCTTCCGGGTTTAGTTTAAATTAATCGTGAATACGATATTCAGATGATCATAGATTATTTAGCTCATCACTAAGCAATACGTCGGCTAATATTCATTCAAACCATTGATCACCATCACAAGGTCTCTGAAATCACGACGAATGGTTCAATGAATGTTCCGAGTGAAACAAGTAATCAAATAAATTCTTTTCAATTTTCGATATCATAATGAATATTTATTTGCTAATACCAGATATATCAAACAGATTACATTCAATTACACCAATAACAAACAAAAACACACGCTCATCCATTGTATTAGGCCTCGTGTTAACAAAGATCTTTCGAGAGAACATTGTTTGATGTTGACAGCTGGAGTGATACGATGAACGTCATTGCTCAGCTGCGGCGCTTCTGGCTTGAGGGCTACCGTAACTAACAGTCGGTGACGTTTCGGTATTGTAACACTGTTCTCTTCTTGTATTGTCTTCTGTCACAGAGAAATGCAGCTTCTAGAGAGATGAAATATGGGGATTATCGTAGCATAAAAAAGCATATTGAGTGATAGTTGATCACTAAACAGCGCAACTTGTGAGGGAGTGTGATGCTTGGTTTTGACGTTGTTATCCTTCCTCATGAATGATGGAAGCACAATTTGTTATTGTGTGTTCGAATGCTTTCAATGAGGCAGGCAGTTTACTGTCTATCCTGTTCGTTCAACTGATCACTGTTCAACAGCTCCATTCCATCCATCCGTATGCATCCATCCGCCTGATCTCTGGCTTCAAATCTGATCTGTGAAAATTCACTGCTTCATGAATAGAGTTGTCTAGGCGGCGATATACGATTGTTTTGCATGTTGCTTGTTGCTCTTGTTTTGGTGATGTTATCGTTCGTTATCCATTCATGCATCATTATATAAAGCTTGTATGATGCCATTTACATGAAGCTCTATCTGAGCTGTCCATGTTGAATGAGATGTTACTGTCACATTCTCTTTGAGAGTGTTCGCCTGATGCATTCACGACAAGATCGTTCAACTCTGTGTAATTGTTGTTGATATGGAATTCATTCAGCCTTTAGTCCAATCAACTATCGCATTCTGCGTGTTTATGTTGCATGTTCGTGCAAAATCCGTCTAACAGATCAGCCACAACAATAAATTTCAGAAGGAATCGCTCGGAAGCAATTGTTCTCTGCGAACTCCTCAAATCCTCACCAAAAACATCAGTGATCAACAGAGACACGAAGACGGAGAGCATTAGCAGTTTTGGGCGCCGCTCTGGATTTCAGTGAGATGGACGACGATTGGGCGCCGCTGATTCTGAAGGATGACTACCTGTTCTCAGCGGTAGCTTGTGCATCTGGACTAGCATCGGATCTGTCACCGATAAGTAGTGGATATAGGACTGCTGATGATAATAGTGATAATAACACAACCACCAATAACGACACCAATATTGATGCTCACGATGACGGTCATGCCCTCTCTTTTATGTTATCACCGAGTAACAATACCAATTGTGGTGCGTTGCAAACAAACGGAATCAATACAATTCCACCGATGCATCAGAATCTAAGTGAATTCCCATTTCATTTCACACCAATTGACGACCACAGCAATACCCAACGTGATACTATCACAACAAGCACCAATGCTACTGAGGATCATTTCAATCCAGCGAATCAACAAAATTTCATCACTACTAATCATAGTCATCATCATGCACATCTCCACACTGCTCACCACAACCATGTTGGATTGATCAAAGCCGAACCACGAGAAGAGCAATGCTTGTCAGGTGCGTTCATACAGTTTCTGCATGATTTGATTGGATTTTTTGTTGTTGGTGTTTATGTTCGGTATGATGTGTTGAGGTGATAATGATATCATAATTATCATCATTAGCATATTGTAACTATTCGTTTGATATAGCTGTCAACATCGTTAACATGATCTGTGATCACTTATTATCGGTACAATTAATAGCACTGAAAACACTGATGAGTTGGTCGGTGTTCAAAATTGGTCTCTTTTGAACACTGCATCAGCAATTACCTCAGAACTTGTCTTACAGTCTTGATTGCACCATCTTTATTGGGTTCTTTTTTCTCACTAACAATCTTCTTCAATGAGACAAGCTTATTTATAGTAGATTAGAATACAGTGGAATATTAATCACCAATGGACTTAGATTTATTTTCGTGATCAATTCACTATTAAATTTTGAATTATTTGTAAAATAAGTCGAATTTCTCGGTGTATCAATTGAACATGATCAGGCAAGCAGATTAAACGGGTACTTAGCTTCATAAGGATTTGATAGCCTCGAGCTACCTAGAAGCGACGTTGGTCATTATTGTTGTTCATTTTGAACCATTTCATCGAGTCGAGAAGATTATCTTGCTACTGATAGGGGATGAATTCTTATCATTCAATCGTTATCGATCACTGTTATCAGTGATCGATAACGATTGAAAACATTTTGAAATAATGTCATGAAATCTTAGAGAGGACGAAATTGAATTGCTTACTTTTATGGGGCGAAGTGAATGGAATTTGCATGAAATTGTTCACTCATGTCAGTATCGGAGTGATTCAGCTCGACAAAAATGCTGGACTGATGATGAGTTTCGATAGGTGCTCAAGCATTGGATTAACTGTAAGCTACCTAGCAAGAACCGTAGTAAATGTGCATAGACTCATTTCGAGAATTATCTGACTGCTTATAGAGTCTTGAAATATCTTTGATCCATTCTCCGATCTGCAGAATTTATTTATAGGGTAGTGAGAATAGAAAATTGAAAACATTGATGTTTTGTTCTGACTTTGATAGACAAGCTGAATGACTTTCGTTCATCCGACACGATTTGAATCCATATTGTAATGGTGGTTTCTTCCAGTCTAATCACGTCTAAGTGATATTCACTGGAAACAAAAATTAGTAACTAATTCAGAGAATATCTTTTAGACGTAAAAGATTTATTTGAAGCACTCACTCATTTTCGTCAAATATCAATTTGTCTGTATTGATTCGTAAATGCGCTGCTTATATGATGAATTCAAATTTTGATTTATGACATTTCTTCATTTTTTGTCTCAAACAAACGTTTATATCTGCATTAGATCGAATATATGGATTATAAGGATGTTGAATACTGAGCATTGAATACATTAGCAACATATCCATGGTGAAAGGAGTCAGCATTTAGATGGTCTCTAGAAAAAATAACGGATTGTTTGAAATTGTTTGCGTTTTTTGAATTGAATAATCTCTTATGGTTTGTTCGAAATACACAACAACACTATCCCTCGCAAATGCAACGAAACCAAAAGTAAGATTAAGAAAAAAACCATTGTAAGTGAAAAATGGTGATCATATAAGATACTTTTTCATTACGTGTTTCGTCTTGTCCTGTGTTCTATTTCAAATATTTCAGGCCAAATTTGCGGAGAGGGGGAGGCTATTCTTTATACTCAACGATACTTTGACCAAATATATGAGTAAAATTTCTTAATGAATGTTGAATAATTTTGGTCGGACCAAGTGGAAAAAGTGGTGTTTTTTTCGGTTCGAAATTGAACGAAAATTCTTTTGCGAGAATGATTTTGAGAGGAATCATTTTGAGAGCGAAATTCGTTGATGAATAGGAAACGAAAAGCAAAATATTTATTCAACGGAAATCAGTTATTTTGACTAATTTGCTCTCGGAAGCACACCATACACACAGACGATGAACAATTTGCTCACTCATTATAGCAGATTTGATTAAATTTTGTTTATATTATTTGCTCATCAGCGCCATCGCCATATTTTATCTTTTCATAATATTTGTGTTTATTTGTTGTTTATACAATTTAAACATTTCATTATTCATCGCTATTTTGCATCTCTTAGCAACGAATTTGCTCGATAGAACTTTATGCATTTTCATTATCGCGTTTAAACACCACTAACAGCCAAAAAGGATTCCATTTCAATGAGATCATCTTAAAGGAATATACAGATCGAATTTGTGACAGAATCTAATCGACAGAATGTGGAAACAAATTCAAAACTGTTAACAGTGCTCTTATGCACCAGTCCAGAAATTCAGAAATGTTAAGTTATTGCTGGGAAGAGAGTGAATTTTGAGTTGAAAAAAAGGTTTAGAGTGCGAAGTTGGGAGATGTAATAGGGACTAGCGACAGTATTACATCGTTTTTATGAATTGTAAGCACATTCGTTTTATTTCAACGAGATTTAGTGTTTATTTAATAGGTTTACTTGTTTCCATTAGTAGTTTAATATAAACATTTTTATAAAGTGGTATATGCGCAGATGAATATATTTAGACAGCTTAGACGATAGAAAGGAACTGTGAAGTATCGTTTGCGATATTGCGAACGCCAACTGATGTAATAATGACACTGTGATCATGTTAGCGGAGTCATTAATAATACTACGAACAATATTTGTAATGATGTGTAATATACAGTAGGTAATGAAAATTAACATCAGTTCCATGTACTGTTTGTTTACAGAGCATGAAGGATGATTTGTCAAGCTAAATTGACTTTTTATGTACAAAGACTTTTCACTTTGCGCTAAAGTATTCGATCATGTGCCCAGATCTGATTAGCCCTTTACGGCTGGCTGACTGCATTGATCTCGTTCGATAGAACCATACTGTATTGAATGTTCACATATGGGTAGTCTAGAGGCAGTCGCAATGCTCTGGATATGTTCATGGTGCCCTATAACTTAACTTCCGCCTAACGAATGGCCACATAAATGTCTGAAAATGAACTCTGAAATGGACGATCAAAATTTGGAAACATCCCGATTGAGTTGAGAGAGTTTGGATAGAGACTGAAGATATCGATGACATAAGCAATTCGAATGAATATGATTCAAAAGCGCAAAATATTTTAGAATATCGTCCATGTTATTCAATATCACCATGCAGTTCATCGTATTCATCACCAGAACAAGATAACAACGAGGCGACAAGCATGGAAATTTCTTACGTTGCTCCGTACATTCGTCAAGGTACATTGACCGTTGTTTGTTCATTTCTCTGATTCACTCATTCAGATAACCTATGAACAATGCTCTGAATACATCATCTGCAATCCTACGTTATAGACACTTGGACATTTATTCATGAACTCAATCAAAAATTTCATACACATCGTTGAAAAATCGATTTCGATCGATCAGAACTCATAAGTGAATGTTCACGGATGTATCAAATATCACGAAAAATATCACATATCACATTGGATGCTTTCGAAATCCAGCCGAATTTATCAATTCTACACATGCTTTCATGCAGATTCAATTGATGATAAGTCTCTTAGGAAATCCTAACAAAATGAAGAATTGAATATGCATATGTAGCAGTGCTGAAATCTCATACGTTTCACCTTATGATTTTTCGGAAATCGTTCCGTAAACTGAAATTGAACGAGAATTCTCGAAAAGTAGAGCCAAATCACTTTACTGTTTCAATCAATCAGATGCAATTTACAGCCACATCAGGTCTTGATCAGGCTGGAAATCCAATACCACATATGTCATACGGATGTTCGGCGCGGGGTAAGTCTCATTCGAATGGATTACCCCCGGTGACACATTTCTCGCACACGCCTTCAGAACATTGCTTTACAGAAGGTTTGTCAGAAGGTAGGAATAACTTTATCATTGATATTATCACCATCAATATCATTATCAATTATTCGCATT